CAGGGGTGCCACTCTGTGGGCCACACACATGCCAGCCAGCTTGACAGGAGGTTCACACAGAAGCCGCCACTGCAAATCTGCCACCGCACCCTGCGCTACCATCCCATGGCCACCTGCATGGCTTTGTGGGCAAGGGGCGCAGGACGCAGCAGTGGCAGCATGGTGGCAACCACTGTGTGCGGGCCACATACATGCTACCAAGCAGGGGGGTGAAACAGGAGGCTTGCATGCAACAGCATGCCCCGCAACTGGCTGCACGGCTCTGCAGCAGTGCAGGGTGGTAGCGGGTGCATGCAGGGTGGGGGGGGCTATGCAGGCAAGCACTGCCACTGCAGAGCCATGCCCTTCACCCCTGGATCCTAGAGATAAGTGGGGCTTGGGGGCTGTGGGGTAGGGCTGGGGAAGATAGTTGGGGGCTGAGGGAGTGGGGGGTGCTACCACACATCTGTCATCTAGCCGTCTATCTCTGTCCATCTCCACCTCTCGCCATTCCTGTGTTCCTGCTTTCTCTCTCTCTCTCCCCCCATCATCTTTCCTGTGGTGCCAGACCCACTGAGTTGCCAAATGGTGGCAGAGACCCAGAGCAGAGCCTACCAGACCCCTGCCCCACTTCCCCCAAGCCTGGTGTCCAGCTCAGCCTGGGGTGACCAGCAGCATGAAGCAGCCCCCAGCACTGGGGAGGAGAGGCTGCAGCCCAGCTGGGGCCCAGATCATCCCTGCCTGGTGGCCTGGACCCAGAATGGCCTCTGACCCCTGCCAGGTGCTCAGAACCCAGACCTCTGGGACACGCACACACACACCCCCAGGCATTTGGGATACGCACGCATAAATGCATGCACAGAACCTGGGCATCCAGGACACACGCATGGAATCCAGGCCTCTGGGACACACATACAGACAACACCCAGGTTTGAGATACACACATCCACAACCCAGCCATCTGGGATGCACACACACAATCATCTCTCCATACATCATCCAGGCTTCCAGATACACACATGCAATGCAGGCATCCTGGACACATACACACACACACATACACGTGCATACATATATGCATAGGACCCAGATGTCGGGGACACATGCACAGTACCCAGGCATCCAGGACACAAACACAGACGCATGCTCACAAAACCCAGACATCTGGGACATGCACATGTGCACACACACATGCTTTCCCCATAGCAGCCCCTGGGGCAAGGTCTGAGATCCTAGGGATGGGTGCGCTGGACACCCTCACCCCAGGCTATGCAGCCTATCCTTCCCAGCTCAGTGTCCCCAGGGCTGGGGGACCTCTGCAGCACCACGGCCCCCGAGGGCAGGCCCCAAGCCTGACTCCTTGCCCCACTGGGGCTGCCTGAGGCCTGCCCAGTGGGACAAGAGGAAGGGACCATCAGCCAAGATCCAGAGCATCTCCAGGCCCAGCCTTACCCTACCCCCATGCTGGTGTCTGCCCCCCACTGCTGCCCCAGGACATCACAGCTGCCAATGCCACTGTGTTATGGTTGCCATCGCCACCATCACGGCTGCTGGGTAAGGCGGAGACAGCCCGTGGCTGGGCTACTTCAGCCTTGGTGCCCAGGAACCAGCTGCCTGCTGCACCCCATGGTCACTCCAGCTCCTCTTTCACCCTACGGGGTGGCGGCAGTGGTGGCGGCCGCTGCTGCTTACCTGTGGGGCCACCTGTGCCAGCAGTGACTGTTGCTGTGTACAAAACCACCCCCACCGCCATGGAGCCATGCCCGAAGCTGTGCGGCCAGCAGCAGCAGCGCAAGGTGGTGGTGGGGATGGCTGTGTGCTGCTGGCTGCACAGCTCCAGGATGGCTCCACAGCGTTCGTGTAAGGTGGGTGCAAGATAGCCGCCCAGAGCAGCACCTCCAGTGAGCAAAAGCAGCAGGCGCAGCTCTGCAGACATGGTGCAGACGTGGAGCACAGTTGCCAGGGCCCCCGCCTGGGCGCAGCCGCCTGCTATGGGCTCTTCCGAGGCCTCCACCCAGACGGAGCTCATGGCAGGGTCAGTGGCCCCTTGCCCCCCTGTCTGTGGGGGGTGGTGGTCCCCTTGCCTGTCCCTCCTGTGCCTGACTTAGGGCCCTGGAGGAGCAGGTGAGGGAGCCCCAGGCTGAGGTGAGCAGACTGAGGGGGATCACAGATGCTGAGGATGAAATTGATGCCTATTTCTGTTCTCTGCAGGCCCGGTCACCCACTGTACAGCCCCTACAGGAGACGCATCTAACGCAGGAGTGGCAGAAGGTGTCCAAATCCAGAGCTGCTAGGCCTAGAGTGGTGGGAGCTCCCCAGGTTCACCTGGGGAACAGGTTCAGCACCCAGGCAGCTGTGATGGAGAATGACAGAAAAATTGGCTCCGGTGGGGATGATGCCACTCCCCACATGACAAAGAATGGGCAGAGAGCGAACACCAGCAGGAAGAAATGCCGGGTCCTCGCCATCGGAGACTCCATCCTACAAGGACTGGAAGGTCCCATCTGCCGGCCTGACCCCATGACGCGAGATGTCTGCTTCATGCCTGGGGCTCAGGTTAGGGACATCACAAAGAGAATCCTGGCCTACATTCAACCTGCAGACCAGTACCCATGGTTGTCGTTCACGTGGGGACGCATGACGCGGCCGGGGCAACCCTGACCACATTATGAAGGATTTCAAGGCTCTGGGGGACAAGCTTAAGGAGATGGGGGGGCGCAGGTGGTATTCTCCTCTCTTCTTCCGGTGAGTAGGTGGGGACGGCAACACAGGGCCTGCATTGGCGAGGTCAACCGGTGCTTACGCAGTTGGCGCCACCAGGCAGGCCTTGGGTTCCTAGCTAATGACCCATGCTTTCAGGCAGGGGACTTGCTGGGGTGGGATGCGCTTCACCTCTCTCCTAAAGGCAAGCGTGTCTTCTCTTCCAGGTTAGCTGATCTCATACGGTGAGCTTTAAACTAGCCTCGCCGGGGCCGCAGGAAGACGAGGAGACACCACCCAAGCAAGACTCGTGACAAATACAAGGAGTGCCCAGGTAAGAAACGGGTCCGGACAGTCTCCCAAATCAGCAGAGTGACACACACAGCTAGGCAAGGCCTTAAATGCCTATATACCAATGCTCATAGTACAGGGAATAAACAGGAGGAACTCACCCTCAGAATAGCCAGTTCAGACCCAGACATAATAGGGCTTACAGAAACGTGGCGGGATTCATCCCACAACTGGGCAGTTAGCATTAGGGGCT